CGTTGCAGGTGCTAAGAAGCCCTTGTAAAATAAATAAAGCTCGTCTCCTCTATATTTCCTCTATTTATTATACCTAGCTATACCTCAGAGTCTTATACTGTCACGGCTACACCTGTAAATAGATCTCTATATAGAGACCTGGGGCAGCAAATGAAAATCTGATCAGGCTCCTGTTTTAGTACTATCTCCAACTCTACTCTGGGCTTCTTTTCTAGTATACAGGTAGCACTGTTTTCTATACTGATACTGAAGAGTGATGGAGAGGTTATCAAAATCTTCAGTGTTTGCTTTGGAATGTGCCAGGGTGTGGAACACTGAGGAAGCTCTTATTCAGATCTGTATCAGATCCAGAAAACCAAATTTATCAAACTCCTGCCTTCCCCTGCTCTTGTCTCTCTCCTCACAATGTCCCAAGGACTCAGGGTATAACACAGCCAGTATGTGTCTAGGGTATGTTTTTAGGGCAGAGGTCACCACAAACTGACTCTGATGGGATTGTAGGACTGACCAGTAAGTGATCAGTGGCCCTGCTCTGTCTCTGTTCTAGCTGCTGATTTAGAACCATGGACAAGGCTCAAGAAAAGTAATCAGGTTTGCCTTTTCTTGTCCGCTCAATTGTATTGCCTAATGCCAGAGCAGCCACCTATAGTCCTATTCAGAAGGAGCCAGAGGCAGGGATCAACAGGTAGCCCCTCCCCCACCTCGAGAATTTCACTCTTCAAATTATAAATCAATCCCTCTAGCTTTTTAAAGTGACCTGCACAAAAAGCCCTCATACACCAACCATGCTGACGCTTGTCCACTAATTCTCTCCCACTGGATTTTAACTTCTTCATGTATTCCATTTGGACCTTGTAAATTTCAAAGGCATCTGTATTGTCATTTTACTGTATATGGGCTTGTACCAATCAATATTCTTATATGCAGACATATATATATATATATACATATATATATAAAGCAGTGAAAAAAAAAGCCACTATATTCTCTTCTTCCTTTGAATATTTTTTTAGTACACAAATTTTATATTCTGTCTTTAAAGCTATTTCTGCTGCACAGCTGCTTTACCAAGACTCAGACTCCTACGGGCTCCACTTGGTCCGACACGTACCTTGAATATCCTTTCACAGTGTTTGATTTCTGCAGTCGGTTGTATAATGAGGAAGGAGTATGCAGTGAGTTTGTAGATTCCTGTTAACCAGGTCACCCATGAATCTATTTTTGTGCACTTCTTTATTAAAAATAGCAGGGAACACGGTAATATTTAAACACAACTACTTATAGGAGCCTAGCTTCAAAACTACACATAATAAGTCTTCTCCCATTTGGCATTTCAAAATGTTATACTACATTTCCCCATCATCAAAGCACCTCTTCTCCATTTGCATTTTGGGATGTGAATAGAGACCATTACAAATGGCAATGAATATTTTGGGTAGTCATATGAATTTGTGATTCTCTGCCCCATTTAGACCATTTAGACTAGTGTCTCATTTAGTTCGTGGCACTACCTTTGAATATGGCCCATAAAGAGATAGAAACAGACCAAGAAGGTAAGACAGGTCAAGAAGTGGGAATAAATAGAAGAGAGCTATGTTCAAATACTTGAAGGAGGATATTTCATGAAAAAAGAGAGTAAAGTTGTTCTGTGCTATACCCAAAGATGGAATCAATGGGAGAAATCTATATCGGGAATGATTTTGATTCAACCTAAAAAGTACCTAACCATTAGAGTTGCCAGACTTTCTGGAACAGGTTGTCAAGTGAGCTGATGAGTTTCCAGGGTCTTCAAATGTGGGACTCTAGGTTGACCAGGCTGTCTGCCAAGAATGATGCTTCCATGTTTCCAGAAAAACATGTCCACTTCAGCTGCGAGGGTCAGTGGTCTTCACTGTCTGGCGTTACTGTTGGTACTGGGGACATTGAAAAAGCAGTGGTACTGTTGTTTCTTAGAAACTATAAGTCCTTTTAAATTGCATGACACATATACCCCAATGGGCTGTGGCAGCCAAGGCCCAGGCAGAAAATGAGTGTGGAGTTGTTGAGGCAAGCATTCTTTTATTCCAGGAAGATACTTTACTTATGTGGTCCAGCCGTTTAGATGGTTTCAAAAAATCCCTCAGAATGGATCATAATCTTTCATTTTGTTGCTTTAATCAAGACTTAGTCACCCCTGGTTGAAGGCTGAGGCGTCAAGGGTTTTCTTCCAACATGGCTCAAGACAACTCTCCAAACAAGACCAAAGAAATAAATCATAGATGAAGCTGCATTACATTCACCAAAGATCAATGGAAAATCCTCATCAAAACATTCAACCAAAAACCTCACCCAGGTTACACTACGAGACAAAAGCTTGCTTTAGAAGTCGACACTGAGGAGTCTAGAATCTAGATTTGGTTTCAGAATCGAAGAGCTAGCCAGAGAGTCCAGAAAAGACTGAGAAGCAAGCCAAGACAAAGATCACCCTGTAGAGAAGACTCAAAGCAGAGAAGCTAGACAGTGTCATACCAGCTATACTTCTTCCCAATTACACACCCTCATCATGGTTGCAGATAAATTGTATCCTGGGATTGATTCCAGACGGCAACTTGCTAAAGATACTGGGGTTCCAGAGCCAAGAACCCAAATTTGGTTTCAAAATCAAAGATCTAGATTCATGTTCAGAAAAAATGAGCCTAATTAGGTTCAGAACTTAATGAGCCTTTAGAATGGAAACAAACCAGGAACAAGATCTCCGACATGATAGAGTTCAAGGTACAGAAACTATATGCAAATGCAGAAGTCTCATTGCAACTCTCATTTCTCTGAAGCCAGAACAGGATGGATCGAGAGACAAATCAGTGTATTTGATGCCATCAACCTGGACTCCAAATCTCTCTCATTCTTCCTGGGAACATACCCTTCTAAACATGCCTTCAGCTTCCCCAGAAGCTGAGCCTTCTAAAGATGGTAAACAGGGCTTCAGGAGGCAGACAGATGCAAGGAACCACACCACCCTACCTATGGAACCTGGCTACACAGTTCAGCAGACATCAAGAAACATGAAAATAAACTTGTTCATTGCATTAAAAAGAAGAGGCTTGGCCAGTGCCTTACCAACATCAGGATATTATTAAAAGTGTGATAACAATCCCTTTCAAGTGAAGGGAATTTTACAGATTATATAGTACCTTCTCCTATATTTCTCCTTTTGATATTCACCACAATTCTCTGAGGAGGCATGTAAAATGTGTTCTCAATCTTTACAGGAGGGAAAGTGGGACCTACAGGGCTTAGATTCATCCAGCATCATCACATGGCTGGCAGGTAGCATTAGGCCTGGGATGGGTCTGGAATGTGGAAATTGGAATCATGCAAACTATGCAGTATTTATGGCCATGCCAATTATCAACAATGTGACTTTGGACAGTCTCATGTGTAGAATGAGGGTGTTGGAATAAGGTGAACTCCAAGGTGCTCATTCCACATGCTGTCTGGCACAGTCCTTCCTTTTTGCCTGACAGGCAGGAGGTAAAATGAAGCAAAGTCTGTGGATTGGAGGAAAACATTCTGATGCACTGGTGCATGTTTCTATGGTGGTAACCTTACACTTCAGCTGCTATAAGACACCATTCTGTCAGATCACTTTCACAAGCTTGAGACTCTTGGCTGTATTTTGATTTGAGGTTTGGGATTTGAGAATATGTTGATATGTACCTTTGTGGGATCAATTATAGTATGGAGTGGTGAAGGTGGTCTTTATGAATTTCAATAGCCCTAAATATAGAAGAGTCAGCAGGAATGGTGAGGACTCCATATTTTACAAGGTGTAAGCTTACAAGGAAAATTATAGCTTGGTCTGATTTTATTTTTTAATTTTTAAAGTGTAGCTGTTAAACTCCAAATTAGATTTCATGTTGATTATAAGGCTCTTTACAAAGCTAATTTGTATTACATGTTCATTGTAGGAAATTTAAATATAAAGAAAATTACATAGGCAATTGCCTATAATATCCCAAAGATAACTGCTATTAAAATTTTGTTAAAACTTTCTGGAATGGTTTTTATGTACCTATACATATTTTAAATATTTATTTAAGAGATGGGAAGGGAGGGGGAAAGAGAGGGAGAGAAACATCACTGTGAGAGAAAAACATGATCGCTTGCCTCTCACACTCGCCCTGACCAGGGACCAGGCCTACAACCCAGGGCATGTACCCTGACCAGGAATTGAACTGGTGACTTTTTCCTTGCTGGGTGATGACCAACCAACTGAACCACGCCAGTCAGGACCCTATACAAATTTTAAAACAAATTTAATATAATCCTGTGCATATTGATTTATGAACCTTTTTTGTTGATAATGGTAAAAATTTATTTTATTTTTATTTTTTATTATTGTTCAAGTACAGTTGTCTCCATTTTCCCACCACTACTCTCTCCCACACCACTCACCCTCACCTTCCACCTCCCACCCTCAATCCTTACCCCCTTTGGCTTTGCCCATGAGTCCTTTATACATGTTCCTTGGTAAATTTTTATGACACTAAATATTCTTTTTCAAAATGTATTTGATTTGAATTTAGATTTGGGAGTCACTCAGTGTTCTAGTGTATGGATGCATCAAAATTCATTTAACCTCTTTCCTATTGTTGTGTATATGAAATGCTTACAATATTTTGTTAACATAAAACCTAACATAATGTGAAAATATCCTCTTCTATAATTCCTTGACAGTGAGCGTATTAGATGTAAGCCTGATTTATCTAACAGAGAAAACTAAAGCTGGATTTCCTTTTCTACAGTACCAGCAATGCTATTGGACATTTATGAGAAAATTATAAACTGTACACTTATTATGGTTAATTGAAATGACGACACCAAAGGTTTTGGGAGAGCTTCCCCACTGTTACCATCAAGGGATCTGCTACTGTGCTTTTGGCTTTTTCACAGTTAATGTCTTGCATAAACATCAACACAGTGGACTCATTTTTCTTTTCTGTTGACTCTCCTTTAGCCTGATGAAGTCCTCCGATATCGATCAGGATTTATTTACAGACAGTTACTGCAAGGTGTGCAGTGCACAACTGATATCCGAATCTCAACGCGTGGCCCATTACGAGGTAAGGACTGATTTTCCCACTCAGAGTTTTCAAATGGAAGAAAGAGTAGCATTCGTCTTGGTTGTGGGACTTGAGGCTACCCCCTTCTGGAGTTGGGGCAGATTTTAAGCACCACAGGGCCTGAACCTTTGTAGTCTGAGCTCAGACCAGGAGCTATGTGGATGTGCGGGGTTGTGAGTGAGGGCTGCGGATGTCATTCACAGGCCCTGGCTGCTTCCCAGGTTCTGGCTTTTTCCTTTGCATCTCGGCCCCTCGAGACTCAGTGGGCTTTCTGTGCTTGTTAAATCTGTCATTGCTCATCCCTGAAGCTCTTTTCAGGGACACAAGGCAGGATGCATTAGTGCCAGCTTCTCTTTCCTTCAGTGACCCTGAAGATGAGCTCAGAGGCCCTTTGTTCCTCACTGCAGGGAATCATGGCAGCATCAGTGATTCAGTACCAAATTCCTTCTCCCTGGTGGCCGTTGCTCTAAATGTGTTCCCCCACAGAGTTCTAACAAGTTGTATAGCCTAAACACTCTTGAAGGACGTAATTCAGTGGCTTTGGCTCTTTAGGGTAGAAGACCAAATGGCTGCCTTTAGACCCTTCGCTGGGAAGAAAGGATGCTCTCAGTATCTGAGGAGGGAATGAGGTGCCAGGTATGAAGAAAAGGGGCCCCAGATGCCTAGTGCTGCCCAGGGCATTTGGTGTTCCAGAGATCATATACCAGTGGGAACATGAGGGTTTTTTTCTTTGTTTTTAATTAAATTTATTGGGGTGACATTGGTTAATAAGGTTATTTTTATTTCAAGTGTACATTTCTATGATACATGATCTGTATGTTGCATCGTGTGCCCACCCCCCAAAGTTAAATCACCTTCCATCACCATATGTTTGACCCCCTTCACCCTTTACTATTCCCCACCTCCCTTCCTTCTGGTAACCACCATACTGTTGTCCGTTTCTATGAGTTTTGCTTTATATCCCACAAATGAATGAAATCATACGGTGTTTAGCTGTTTCTGGCTGTCTTATTTCACTTAGCACGATATTCTCAAGGTCAATCCATGTTGTCTCAAATGGCAGTATTTCATTTTTTCTTATGTCTGAATAGTTTTTCATTGTATATATGTACCACATCTTCTTTATTCAATCCTCCATTGAAGGACACTTTGGTTGTTTCCATGTCTTGGCCACTGTGAAAAATGCTGCAATGAACATAAGTGTGCATATGTCTTTGCAAATGAATGTTTTTGAGTTTTTCAGGTAGTTACCCAGAAGAGGGATTGCTGGGTAGCTCTGTTTTTAATTTTTTGAGAAACTTCCATACTTTTTCTATAGTGGTTGTACCAGTTTACATTCCCAGCAGCAGTGAATAAAGGTTTCTTTTTCTCCACAACCTCTCCAACACTTGTTATTACTTATCTTGTTGATAAGTAGCCATTCTAACAGGTGTGAAGTGGTATCTCATTGTAGCTTTGATTTCTATTTCCCTAATAGCTAGTGAAGGTAAGCGTCTTCTCATATATCTCTTGGCCATTTGTATGTCCTCTTGGAAAAAGTGTCTGTTTGGGTCCCCTGTTCATTTTTTAATTGGATTGTCTGTCTGTCATTGAGTTGTATGAGTTCTTTATATATTTTGGATATTAACACCTTTGTCAGAGATGTTGTTTGCAAATATCTTCTCCCATTCAGTTGGTTGCCTTTTTGTTTTGTTGGTGGTTTCTTTTGCTGTGTATAAGCTTTTTAGTTTGATATAGTCCCATTCATTTATTTTTGCCTTTACTTCCCTTGCCTTTGGGGTCAAATTCATGAAGTGTTCTCCACAACCAAAGTCCATAAATTTAATACCTATGTTTTCTTCTCTGTAATTTATTGTTTCAGATATTACATTTAGGTCTTTAATCCATTTTGAATGAATTTTTGTACATGGGGATTAACTGTAATTTATTTTTATTCTTTTGCAAGTGGCTTTCCAAATTTCCCAGCACCATTTAGTTTTCAACTGTAATAATTTGTAAGTAATTTTAGATTGGAGAGCTTAGCCAGCAATTTTCTTTTTGTCTGACGAGGCTGACAAATGACAGTTATCACTGTCACTCAAAAAACTCCTCTGAGCCTCAGAGTCCTGTATGCACAATGAAAAAAGTAATAATAATATGTACACACCCAGAAGCCCAATCAACTGACCCTGTGTACCCCTCAGGATTTTGTGATAGCCCAATGAGACCTATTGAAATAGTATTTGTGCAAATGCTTTGGAAGCTGTAAAGTGTGCCATACATGCAAAATTATATTGTTTTTCATTATTAACTCTGTTTTAGCAATATTTTGTTGAAGGCAAATGAAACTTGCTCTTCAGAGAAAACTAAAAAATCAGTATCTATGAAAAAAGCATATTCTTTTGTCAAGAGGCAACTGAATGTGAGAAGTAAATGTGAATTCTAAAGAATTACCTAATATGGAAGATATCCATCTTTTGAAATTAGAAATTCTCTAATTTCTGTGAATATTGCTTTATAAACACATATGGTTTTATTCACTTGATTTCCCTAATTAAGGAATATCAGGGAATTTGTCTTTGCTTTGAAATTCCATAGCTTCCTATTCCTATTAGTCCTTTATGTTCTCCCTTTACGTGACTTTTTGTGTTCGTTTTCAATCCTTTTACTAGATTCTTGGGGACAGAGAGAGAATTTAATTCATTGATCTCTCCTAATTCCTAGAACAGAGCCTGCATATCATAGGTGCTCAGTTCGTGTTTGTTTAGTGAAGTGTCCTGGTGGCAGCGCCCAGCCCTGCTTTGTTGTTACCTGAGCTAAAAAAGGAATGTCCGAAAACTGAAAACAACAAAATCATTCTTTTAAGAGAAACAAATCTTGGCTGCTCAATGAAGGGTTTAGTTATTTGAACTCAAAGCTCTCTTGTCTTCACACTGTACTCTTGCTGTAGTGCAATTTAATTGTTTGGAGGATTTGTTGCATGTAGCATAGATGAGATAAAGAAAAGAAAGCAATTACAATAGATCTGCAATTAACAATGCTACACATCATTAAAGCAACATCAGATGCATCTCCATTAACCATGGATGGGAGCTCTGAATGATGCTTCACTCTCTGCCTTCAGGCAGAGGTGAGGCACTTCCTTCAGTGAGAAGTGACCCGGGTGGGCAAAGGGCACATTCAGGACCGAAGCCACCTTATGCAATGAAGCTGGTCTTCCAGCTTCAGTCAGGAGACTCCCTCCATACTTCTTCATCTCTAAAAAGATGGCTTCCATTAGATGATTTTGAAGGCCATTTGAGAATTGACACCCTGATTCTATTAATCTCTCCTCTCCCTCCACCACATCTTCTCTGCTGAAATTGGTCTCTATGAGTCCAAAGTCCCACTCAAATCATTGAATGTGTTGTCATACTTATTCTCAACGCTCTGTCACTGATTTATTGCTTTAGTATAATTTTACTCTTCAATTCAACCAGATAATATTCTTAGCTTCCCTATGGAGCAAATCACTGACAAGCTACTGTGTACTTTCTGCGTGTCCAGAAGTATTAATGCTAGTTATTACAGGGGGTTCTGAAGCTATGTGCGAAATAGTCTTTGCCCCCAAAAAGCTTGTAAACTTCATTGGAAGGGAAAGCCATGAATAGTTCAGTGTGGTGTAAATGTGTGTATGATACTGAGAACATAACCTGTAAAATTCTCCTGCCTGCTCCTGAGGAGCTGCTGATCTACTTTGATGTAAACAGAATGTTAGTTCTCCTGCCCATGTGGCTTTCTGATATATTCTACATTGTGCTGTTAACTTTTTAGATATTTGTATATTCCAAATAAAAAAAAATGAGTCATTACCAAGAGCCTTTATGGTCAAGAAAGACTTGTGGGGAATGTCATGAGTTATTTCAGCCTCATCAGATGCGTTAAGTGTAGGGGTTGCTGGAATGAGAAGTCTTGGTATCTCCAGGAAGCACTGAGGAGGCCTGGCTGGCTGGACTGGAGGATTTGTGTGTATAGTGAAGGGAGGGAGCAGGGGCACATTACAGGTAGCGTGGGGTTGGGGTATAGAGAAGGGGTGTTTGGGTTCTTGTGAATTTCTTAGGCATTTGGGAGAGTAACAGTATAATTGAGCATTTCTGAATGACGGTCCATTGGTTGTGGTTTATGTATATTGTGAAAAAAAAAACACCTTTTGATAAGACTTGTGCCATGAAACTAGTGTGCTGGTTCTCTGAAGCAGGAGAGAAAAAAACCTAGCAGATGGGTTACTGCCTAATAGCTGCATGCCCCATTTAAAAGCCTGAACCTTTGTATAGGAGGACAGAAAAACCTAATATATATCTAATGGACCAAACCCTTTCATGCTACGCTTGTAAAATCTCCTTTTGTATGTGAAGTCCTGAGATTGAAAAAAAAGGGAAATGTCAGGACATTATTATTTTTCTTACTTGCTAAGCATTAATAACATGTTAATATTTTGGTGGAAACTATAATTAGATGTTATCTCTGCTCACTGGATGAATAGTCTGAATTAAAAACAAGTAGACACAGACATAGAAGGGAAGAACAAGCTTGCAAATGAGAATGCCTGATTGTTACAGAGGTTAGAAAGAGTTTCCCTGTGAGGCCACTTGAGTAGTTTGCTGAAGTTTCAAGTGGCTAAAGGATAATTTCCTGCAATGGGAAAAAGTTGATTGCATGAGTGAAAGAGTAATTTTTTTTTTTTAGCATGTAGGAAGAAGAGGATTTGTATAGGGAGGACAATTGTATGAGAGATGAAACCAAAAGGACAGAGAGATTTTTATTTTTTTGAGTGAAGCTGAAGGCAGAAGATGAATGAACGGATCTGGAAGGAAAGACCTTGTTAGGCAGGCCCAATGAAGCCAGCCATAGATGTGCCAACTCCTATTGCTTACCCCTTCTTATGAACCCTAATATCCCTTGTGTTGCTGTGCCATATGTGTACTTAATTGTTCCTTCTGAGATTATTAGCTCAGGTGTCCTGGCACCCCAAACAAGATTGT